CACCGGGGATCCCTGCGCGTGCGTTCAGAGAAGGGGCACGACCTGCATGGCGAGAATTCCCAGGTGCACACAGCCATCCGCCTGTCTCCAGCTGAAAAGCAAGCAGAGGCATCGCAAGGCACCCACCAGCGTCCAGATTTCCTGCCTCCTAGTGGAGGTGACCGCCAGGAAGAGGGGGCAGAAGAAGCAGGCCCCTTGGCGCGTCCTCCCGCCGTGGGGGAGGATGCCTGTGCTAAAGACCAACAGCCAGCTTGGTCGCCTCCAGCAAGACTCTTTGCAGCCGTGCCCAAAGCTCAGCACCAAGAGGCCGGGGACACCCGCCCAGAGACCCCGGCTACTTCCCAGGAGAGCACTGCCTTCACAGAGAATGCAGAGGGCCCAGGCGAGGGCGCCTTGGAAGGGATGGCAGCATCCTCCACCTGCTCTACCCGGAGCCTGCATCGCTCCCTCGGTTTCGCCCACAGGAAAAGGAAGCTCCAGGCGCCAGACCCCAAGAAAGGACTGCAGGGGCGCCCACGCCGTGTGCGCTCCCAGGCGATGAGGGCCGCCAGGGCCAGCACCATAAGGGCTGGCGATCGACCAGCGCGAGGAGCCGCAGCAGGGCCTTCGGCACGCGAGCCCTGCCCTATCAAAAGAGGGACGATGGTCTGGTTCAAGTTTCAGGATCATCCGTTTTGGCCGGCAGTGGTCAAGAGCGTGTGCAAAACCCAGAAGACGGCCCGGGTGCTGTTGATTGAGGCGAACCTGCGCGGGGAACGCAGCGGCATTCGGGTCCCTCTGCACAGGCTGAAGCACCTGGATTGTGAGGAGAAGGAGAAACTCCTGAAGAGAGCCAGCAAGGCGTACCGGCAGAGTGTGAACTGGTGCTTGTCGCTCATTGCCCACTACCGAGAGCGGGTGGGTCGGGGCTCTTTCGTGGGCTCCTTCCTGGACTACTACGCGGCCGACGCCAGCTACCCCATGCGCAAAGCCATCCAAGACGGGGACCTGGACGTCAGTTTTCCAAAGGTGAATTATGCAGACCTGGAAGATTCCGAGGAGGAGACCTCGGTGGGCGCGGGCGGCAAGAGGACCTGCAAGAAGCTGCTCCCCGACCGCATGAGGGCCGCTCGGGACCGAGCCAACCAGAAGCTGGTGGACTTCATCGTGAAGAAGAAGGGGGCCGACCACCATCTGCTGGACATCGTGAAGGGCAGGAAGCAGTCCCGGTGGCTGACGTCCTTTCTGAGTGAAAGCCGGTACGTGTTCTGCATCGAGACGTACCTGGAGGACGAGGATCAGCTGGATGTCGTCGTCAAGCATCTGCAGGACATCTACGAGCAAACGGACAAGGCCTTGCTCACTCTCATCAGAGGTGACAAAGTGAGATTTCTTCTGGAAGTCCTGCTGCCAGAAGCGATCATTTGTTCAATCGCTGCGCTGGACGGACTCGACTACAAGGGAGCAGAAGAGAAGTACCTGCGAGGGCCACCTGTGCATCCACGGGAGAAGGAACTGTTCGACAAGGACATCTTGAAGGAGATGAGGAAGAGATCCAGGAGAGGCAGAAAGGTGGTCAGGTCTCTTCCCCAGCCCTGCACCTCCGCAGGGGCCTCCTCCTCTCCCCAACCCATCAGGCCGCCCCTCTGTGTGAAAGGAGGCGCCTCACCCCCTCCCTAGGCAGTCCCATATGCTTGGCACCTTTGGAAGAGACCTTTGGAAGGTGCACTCTTCATGGTGGATCCATCTCTCCCCTTGGTGGATGCCACCTTCAGCCACATTTCTTGTCCCCAAACCCCTCACCCGCTATTTCTCACGACACTCCTGCCCTTCCCACTTGATATTTTCATACAGGACACACACCAGCAAAGGCCCGGCCTTCAGCTACCTAGCAACACTAACCTGGGAAACCTCATGCGTGTGCTCACACAAACATCCCCTGGATTTTTCCTGCGTCCAGGGACATGTGGATATACATATGCCTTGGGCTCCTTCTTGACATCATCCCCGAACTTTCCCTGCTACACCTATTTGCTTCTTGAAGTCAAAACCAATGACAGAGATGCTTTCTCCTGTGATATCATCACCTTCTGATACTTCTTCAAAAGCCATTCTGGAAGTCCAGCCGAGCACAGAGTTGCTGGATCACCAGCCCACCATCCTCTGGGCATGGGTGAAATCCTGGCACCCAAGGGCCCTTTTGTCCCGTGGGATCTTGCCCAGGAGCATCGACTTGGTGCATTCATGAAATTCCGCCTCTGGGAGCAGGGAGTGGCCCTTCTTCACAGGCGGAAGAGCAGCGGCTTCCTGAAGCACACAGGCCACAGGCCCCCTCCCATCACTGGCAGTGACTGGATCCTCCTCACATGGCCATCCAGTCCCAGGTTGAGCACTTCACAGGCCAGCCACTCCATGGAGTGGATGGGAGAGGAGCCCATCCACAGAGGATGAGTTACAGGACAGCAAGCATTTGCTCTGGATCCCACAGGCCCTCACACAGAGACATTTGTCTCAAGGTGTACCCCCCGACTTCTTCACGGGCCAGCAGGCTCCCACCGCAGAAACGCAGACTGGGTCAGTCTTTCCAGGCAGCTGGCACAGTGCCAGTACCGGGACTGCCAAGTTGCAAATGGAAGATAGAAACAGCCTCTGCTCGGCCCTACCTGGCCATCGTCCAAATGTAATTAAACACACACCCTCAAATGATGCGTGCAAAACCCACGGATTCTCCTACGAACTTGAAGCAAAACGTCTTTCTGAGAATACACGTGAGAAAAACCAGTTTACTTTGAAAACTTGATTGAATGAAGCATCGAGGGTTGAGGGGATCCTGAGCGGGTGGGTAGCTGTTGGAGGAAGTCCCTTGTTCTCGTGTGTTGTTAGGCTATGTGTGTTAGGCTATGTTAGGCAGGTGCTTTTCTCGACCTTGCAAGGTAGCTCTCTGGATTCACAATCCAACTGTTGTGTCTTTCCCCTTGGACTCCTGCTCCACCACGCTTGAAATTGCACCATGGCTCGCTCCGGTGGAGCATCCAAGAAAGCGTATAAGCACACTCACCACGAAATAAGATCATGGAAAGTATCATGGTGGCTGTTGTCATTTTGAAGGCTCATTGTGAGTTCCCTGCTCATTCCAAATAAATATTCACGTTTGTGGTTGACGTTGTGTAACTTTACATGTCGCCTTCCAGACAGTACGGGTGTCAGGCCTGACCTACCTCTCTGACAGAGAGCAGCCTCCTGGGGCCCCCTGAAGCCCTCATGGTCCTGGGAATCATTTTCAACAGACTGTAGGCCTCGGCACTCTGTGCAGACCCCATTCACCCAGACAGTGCCCTCTAGCTTCTCCACGACCCTGTGTGTGTCTCTCTCTCCCAGCTGGGGCCATGTTAGCATCTGGGTTCTACTCTCTCCCTTACTGCCTCATTCATTCATTCATTCCTTCATTTTTCATCAGGAGAGCAAGTGAGCTGTGGCTTAAGGCTCTGCTCTGAAGATCAACTCCAGGTGCCCTAGAAAGGGACGGGAATCTTGCAACCCAGGTGACAATCGCACTTGTGAGGGAACAAGGATATGACACTTGGTCCTGTTAGTGAGAAATGGTGACCAGCCACATGGGCTGACTCCCTGCATTTGAATCCAGATCCTGCTTCCCCCCCCCCCCGCTATTTTTCAGGTCGGAGGTTTCTGTTGGTTGGGGTGAAGGGAGAGAGGCTGGTCTCTTTTGCATATCATCTACAAGTGGTACCTTTATCCAGGAGAGGCGGCCATGTCTCCCGTGAACTCCTATCTTCCTCCTCTTTGAGGCAGGGTCCCTGCTGGATCTCCATCGCAGGTGGGTTTGTGTGATGCCATAGCCTCACCTGTCACCTATTGTAAACCCTCTTTCCAGGAGTCCACTTCTCCTCCAGCTGTAAGGCACGCTGCTGACGGCCAGGTCCTGTGCTAATGGATGTTTGGCATTGCTGCAGAGAGATGGCATGTGCTGGTGCACAGGTCTCCACCTCCACTGGGGAGCTGAAGAGGGAGGAGTAGAGCCCTGAGACCTGGAAAGCCGATGAGCACAAGAATTTGGAGCACCGGGAACCCCCAAGCTGTCACCCTAGAATCAGCAATCCCCTAATCATTGTGAACTGGGGAGCACCTTTTTTGTCTCTGTAGGCCACAAAGACCGCCTGTAAGGGAGCCACCTCAAAAGACGTTGCTTGTCTTGGGCAGCATCCATCCTGTTAACTGTCCTTGCTGCAGGACCGATGGCAAGGGCAAACTCAGAGTAGGTAAGATCACAGCCCATCGCAGCAGGGGAGGGAAGTGCAGTTCCTGTGTGGGTGGGAGATGCCTTCTCCTCAGATGAACTGCAGGGCCTGGCTAAAATGTTCTCGTGTGAACTGGGAGAAGGCATGTGGGGGTGGATTTGGGGAATGCTAAACCAAGGCATGGTAAAGAATATCATTCAGTGGAGGGGGGGACTTGTTGGCTCACAAGCACAGAGCTGTGGCAGAGTTTCTGTGACCCAGGGAGGCCTATAGGCTGCTTAGGTGGCACTTCAAGCCTGCAGAACCATAGCCAGTGAAGTAGATGCCAGCATAGGAATTGGCCTTAGCAATGGGGTTCAATATTAAGGATGATTTTTCATGTGAGTCTAGAGGTCCTGTCAGTAGATTCTTGTGATCTTGGAGGTCAGAGCTGCAATGACACTACCAAAACAAGGAATGTCCTGGTGTGGTTGTGCTGGTATCTTTGAGAAGCACCCTGTTGACTCTTTTCTGATAGAAAATAAAATTAGGATGAATTGTCAAAGAGTGGAAAGGTCATACACATTCTTACAAAGTCCCAGTTCATGATAGAATAATGAAACTAATACTCAACATCTCTTGTGGGACCAAAGAGTAGTCATATGATCATCCCTATGCACAATTTACATTAATAGCTAATGTAAGAATGCTGAAGTACTACTGCAGTTTCCCCAGAGATGAATTCCTATTTCTGATTTCTTTTTTTATTTTTTTTAGTTGTAGGTGGATACAATATCTTTATTTATTTATTTTTATGTGGTGCTGAGGATTGAACCTAGGACCTCACAAGTGCAAGGCAAGCGCTGTACCACTGAGCTACAATCTCAGCCCCTCTTTCTGATTTCTTAATGCATTGGTTATGAAAGGAATTAGTGGGACCTAGGTAAGTAGTTTATTAGATGACTATTGATATCTAGAAAATCAGATTGAATAAAGGATGTTGAAAAACAACATTTTCAACTCTAGGTTTTTATTGCTTCTTGGAATAATACATTGGTACTATAGGTAAATCCTTGTACCCATATTACTAGTTATCTAGAAAGTCTTAAAAATAGAGGTTATTTCTTATGCAAATACTATGTTAACACTAAATATAATCATTGTTACCAATGTGACTATTTTACTATTTGTAATTTGAACAACTGGCTAAATATAGGTAATAGAAAAGTAGATTCTTCTCATCCAAATTCTTGGAATATTAAGTTATTACTAGAAACAGAATCATTCAAGTAGTATTTACATTAGGATAACTAATTTTAATTAGAATATGTTGGTTCAGGACACTGACCTAAGTAAGAACTCTCTACCAGATCAGAGGTCACATTAGGGAGGTAGGGGGCAGAGGGATCAGCACCAGAGAAGTGTGTGAGGTTCATAGAGGTTGGATTTGTGGGTACTGGCAAGGCACACTAGTGTGATAGACAGAATGACATCCCCTGCTAGGATGTCCACATTCCCATCCCATGAACCTGTGAACATATTACCCCATGTGGTAGAAGTGATTTTTCAGTTATCATTAAGAAATGATCTTGGATTATCCATGTGGAACTATTATTATCACAAAGGTTCTTATAAGAGGAAGGTAGGGGTCAGAGTAATAGTAGGTATTATGATGGAAGCAAAGTCAGAGTGTAATTTACAAATCCTACACCTTTGACTTAGAAGATATAAAGAGGGGCCGTGAGTCAAGAAATGCAAGTAGTCTCTGGAAACTACAAAAGGCAAGGCAATTGATTCTACCTCCAGAAAGAACACAGCTCTGCTGACACTTTGATTTTAGTCTAGCAAGATCCATGTTAAACTCTGACCTCTAAAACTGTAAGAGAATAAATTTGTGTTATTTAAGCCACTGACTATGTGGTGACTTGTTATGACAATCCTTCAGAAGCTAATACAGCTAGTAATAGGACAGTCTAGCTAGTAAGAACAGGATATATTCTGGAAGCTTGAGTATTTATGGTGGGCTTTCAGGGCCAGCAAAGGCTGGGAGGAGTCATTGGGCACTGACATGGAATTGGTCACTGGAGCTAACCAGGACAAGAGTCAAGAAACTGGGTTCCTATTGACCTGGATTTGAATCCAAGTTCCTTCACTTATTAGTCATGTGACTTTGGCAATTTATGATACCATTCTGAACACTGATTTCTTCATCTATGAAATAGGAATGAGAGTACCTTCTGAGGCACAGTCGTTAGGAAAAATAAATGGGACAATTCCCATATGCTTGGTATAATGCCTGCATGACACATAGATGTGCCTAAGAAAACAGATCAAGATACTTTGGCTTTCAGCAGCAAAAAAGAGAAAGCCCACTTCCCAGTGGTCCCAGAAATATGTAAGGTCTGTTATCTCACATCACGTGAGGTCTTGAGGCAGGAGCTCTGGGATTATTGTTGAGGTTGCCCTTTGAGGTCATTAGTAGCCAGGCTCTTTCTGTCTTTCAGTTTGACAACCATTAATGAGCCATGTGTGTCTTTGACTGGCTTCCTTCACAGTGAAGAGGCAATTGCTACAGTCCTTTGTAACATATAGTTGTGAGTAAGGAACAAGAATTCTTCCTCTGGCCCTTTCCCTATGCCTCAAGTCCCCATGCCTAAGCCAATTGTTGGAAAGAGCGATGGGAACCTACCTTCTAAGGCTAAAGATGATCTGAGACTCCCCTGAGAACCATGGCCTTATGAAAAAGTTAGATACTTAGGCAAAATTGGAGTTCTCTGAGGAAGAAAAAGAAGAGATGTTTGGATAGTTTAGCATGTGTACTGCATATAGAAAAAAATGGTAAATATTTTTCTCAGAATTAAGAAGGAAAATATGGGGCTGATTGTCTAAGAGGCATAGAGATGTTAACTTGAGTTCCCCTTTTCTTATTTTTCTTCTTGGAAATAGAGTAAGAGCTGAATGAAACAAACCCAAAGGAAAATTTACTAGAGAAACTCCTGTAGAATCAAAAGAGAATATCATGCACATTTTTCCCCACATGAAATATCTTTAAGGCTACATGGGGCAATTGTCACAGTATGTATTCTGATGGTTGTGCAGCAGAATTGCCCTGGGACCTTTTTAAAAGTATATTTCTGAGAGTGGGCCTAGCCCTGAAGATTCTAATTTGGCAGCTTGAGAATGATCCCAGGAATGTGAATTTTTATTAAGCTACTCCAAGTAAGTCTGAAGCACCAGATAAATTGAGAAGTACTGTCACCTCTTACCAAAACTGACAGATCCAAAGGTAGAGGAACTGCTGTTCTCCTTTCTGTCATTCATTACCCTATAGGCTCTCTCAACATGAAGTATATTGGCAAGTTCTTGAATGTTGGCATCAGTTCCATTTCCCCCAGCTCCCACCTGCAGCCCAGCACAGGCACTTCATTGGCAAACTCTTTCAGGTATCTCTTTAAATTCTGGCAATGAAAAACCTGGTAGGGGGCCAAAGTGAAGCATGAATTCAGAAGGAAAAACAGGAGGCATCAGGAGAGACACAGTTGGTAACATGTTATGTTGACACTTGAATATGGAGAAAACGGATTGCCTTGGACACCAAGTAAAAGAGAGATCCAACTTGAAATCAATCACAGAAGAATTTATTCAAAGGGCAGATTTTTAATGGATGTGAAATTTGATCTCTTTGTGTTCAAGTTAATAAGAATAAATGTGGAATAAAAGAAAGTTGATACACCTATTTGACTATCACTTAGATATGGAACAAATATAGAGCAATGAACTTATTACAATCCCCATTTAAGTATTAACTGACTTAAAACTTTGCCATGTAACCAAAGAATTCCAAATATATTTTTTTCTAAAATTTATCAAATATTTAAAGTTACTAAACAATATGTAACTTTAAACATTTGAAAATTTCTAGACCAGATGACCCCACATGACCTTCTAATATTTTTCTCTTTCTCTCCCCTCTATCCAGAGTTCTCAGCATTCCTTACTGCCCCTTTCACACTACACAACCCTATCCACTGTCAGCATCACTCTAGCTGTATCCCCCCCTTCCAGTGTCTGTCACTTTGGGCCTTTTCTAGAGGCCCAGAAGTAAATAATAACAATAATAATAACACATGAGATCATCATGCTATGAAAATTCACAATTCTGTTTTATGTTAATATTTAAACAATATTTTTAATACTCAACATTTATACTTAGACCCATCTTTGATTTCAAAGCTCCAATAAGATTTAACCCTGGATTTCCTCTAAATTATAGCAGAGAAAGATAGAGTTGCAATGGTGTCTTACCCCCACAGTATCCTATTCAATCCTAGGCAAAGAGGAGGACCCCAACATTTCTTAATCACATCCCAGGGTGAGAAGGGATGTTAAATGTTCCTTGGTGGTGGTTCATACAAGCAACGGCATCATTGAGCACGCCCATTCATTTATAGGCTCTTTCTCCAGAGTGAATACTCTGCTGCTAAACCAAGGCTGTGGATTCACTGAAGGAATTGCAACATTCATACGACTGTTCTGTGGAATGAGTTTTCTGATGATGCATAAGGGATGAATTCCGGCTGAAGGCCTTCTCACATTGTTTACATGTATAAGGTTTGTCTCCAGTGTGTGTCCTTGGGTGCTTTGTAAGGTGTGAGCTCTGGCTGAAGGCCTTCCCACATTCTTTGCATTTGTGGGGTTTCTCTCCACTGTAAATTCCTCGATGTTCGATAAGGTGTGCACTTCTGCTAAAGGCTTTTCCACATTCTACACATTCATAAGGCTTCTCCCCTGTGTGTGTTCTTTGATGGTGAATGAGCCCTGAGGGGCCACTAAAGGCTTTTCCATATTCATCACATCTGTAGGGTTTCTCACCAGTATGGACAAAGAAATGCCTAGAGAGGGACGAGGTGTCTGTGAAGGCCTTGCCACATGCATCACATTTGTAGGGCCTCTCCCAGTGTGGGTCCTGCGGTGCTAGGTCAGGTGCGTGCTTCTGTGGAAGGCCTTCCCACACTCGCCACACTTGTAGGGCTTCTCCCCAGTGTAGATGTGCATGTGCTGGGTCAGGTGCATGCTCTTGGTGAAGGCCTTCCCACACTCGTGGCACTTGTAGGGCTTCTCGCCCGTATGAGTCCTCAGATGCTGGTTAAGGGATGAGCTCTTGCTGAAGGCCTTCTCACACTCTGAACAGCCATAGGGCTTCTCTCTGGTGTGGATGCGTTGGTGGTCAATGAGAGATGAGCTCTGAGTAAATGCTTTGCCACATTCATTGCACTCATATAGCTTCTCCCCGCTGTGGGTGCAAAGGTGCTTTGTCAGGTGTATGCCCTGGCCAAAGGCTTTGCCACACTCTTTGCACCAGAAGGGCTTCTCTTCGTGTGAGCTGTCTGGTGGTGGATGAGCAACGAGCTCTGGCTGAAGGCCTTCTCACACTCACTGCACTGAAAAGGCGTTTCCCCCATGTGAAACCTCAGGTGTTTGATCAGGGATGAGCTCTGGCTGAAGGCCTTCCCGCACTTGGGACAGGAGTATGGTTTCTCTCCCGTGTGAATTCTCTTATGCTGTACGAGTCCTGAGAGGCCGCTGAAGCCTTTCCCACAGTCAGGACACTTATAGGGCTTCTCTCCCCTGTGAATCAGCATATGATGACTGAGGGAAGAGGCATCTGTAAAGGCCTTCCTGCACTCCTGGCACTCATAGGGCCTCTCTCCCGTGTGGGTCCTGTGGTACTGGGTCAGGTGTGTGCTTCTGCGGAAAGTGTTCCCACACTCGCCACACTCGGAGGGCTTCTCCTCGTTGTGGATGCGCATGTGCTGGGTGAGGTGGGTGCTCTTGGTGAAGGTCTTCCCGCACTCATGGCACTCATAGGGCTTATTGCCTGTGTGGATTCTCTGGTGATCACTGAGCGAAGAGCTCTGGCTGAAGGCCTTTCCACACTCACTACATTTAAAGGGTTTCTCTCCTGTGTGAGACCTCTGATGCTTTGTAAGTGAAGAGCTCTGGTTGAAGGCCTTCCCACAGTCCTTGCATGTAAAGGGTTTGTCTCTAGTGTGACTTTCCTGAAGGTCAAACAAGGTGGAATGGTCCCAGAAGGAGTTTCCTTGTTGGGTACACTGCCACGGTTTCTTATCCATACAGAAGCCCTGCTAAGTAATCAGGTCTAAATTTGGGCCTAGGCTCCCTACATGTGTGTCACCTGTGCCAAGACTTTTTCATGTAGGGATCCCTGGCTGTGAAACAGGAGCTGACTGGAGGCTGAAGCTTCCTTGGAAATCACTGCATTCATTGGGAATGTCCTCCCTGGAATTTCTCTTGTGCATTATTGCTGTTTGGGAGATCTCTCCAAGTGGCCCTCAGTCCTCCATGCCTCATACAACATAGAGTCCTAGGGACTGTTCCCTGTCATTCTATTTATCAGTGTTCCCTGGAATAAGCCTCCTTCAGAAATGTTCTGCTGGAAGGTTGATTCCTTAGCCTCAGGTCTGGTTCCCCAATCTGAAAGAAAATACAAAACAGGGAGTTCGACCAGTGTCATGTGATAGAAAACCTAGCCCCTAAGGCATTCATGGTGTCAACAACCCTCACAGTTGGCTCTGCTGTTTCAACACAGGATGAGATGAAGGAGAGATGGACAGGAAAGCAGATAAGCAGGTGACACAAGTGGTGCATGAGAAATGAACACCCAGAAGGGTCTGGAAAGGACAGAGGGAAGCTGGGAAAGAGAGGCACAGGAAAGGTGGCAGAGAAGGATGGAAGATAATGAGGAACAACAGATGATGATCCAAGGGCTCATTCTGGGACTGGAAGACATGACAAAGTCCCTTCTGCATTGTTGTCTCCATATGCTTGGATTATCTAATGGCCTCTTGGAAAGGTACCTTCATTCCATTCCAATCAATCCTGCATATTGTCAGGGTAGAAAACTAAAAATTCAGATGCAGGAGTAGAATTTATATGCCTTATTCTAGTTGATAGTTACCTTTTTCTGACAAAGGAGAATACAGAAGGCAGAAAGATGCTGTGGTTTTGCTGATAAAGATTGTGAACATGGTTCATAATGGTAGAACGGTGATCTCTTTGCAAAGGCTAAAGAGCTCATCTCAGAATTACTTTTGAAATATTTTTTACAGGAGATTCATCAAATTGATGAATAAATTATTTTGAAGGGACTCAAGAAAAAAACACACTGATAAGTAAAACACTATGGTAGACAAGATTTGTGACACAGAGAAATACTGTCCAGTTATTTTCAAATGACAAGATAGGATGAGCAGTTCAAGATTAAGTCTCCAGCTGCCTCTATACTAATACATAGAGTAAGGGGACAATGATAAATTGAAATTGTTCACATAAATGGGTTTGACAGAGACTGTACTTTGCTCAGAAGGATTCAGAAACAGATTGTGGCAACAGAATGTAGACCCAAGAGATGTGAAAGTGACAGAAACATCAGAAGAAAGTTGCCAACTTAATTTTGAATTACTAATAGTGGGGAAAGGGAACAAACTTCATAACTGCATACAGTCAAGCCCTCTGCTCCTAACACCAGCTTCATAGGCCTTCCATGATACTACCCTATACTCCAGCCTCTGAAAGTGAGCTTTGTCTCTTAGGAACTACCAAACCCTATGTAACTCTCTTCTAAGTCACATCACTGCCTATGTAGAAGCTGTGTTAGATTCCAATCTGTAACCCCACAAAATTTAAGCATGTAAAAGTGCTTAATAAATTTTTGAATGAGCAAAAATGTTTTGAGAAACTAATTAAGAGATCTAAAAAGGAAACTGCTGCCTGAGGAATGGGAGAGACTATAGTATAGAATTCTTACTCTATAGCAGTGAATATCCCCATGAAAATGGGGGCCACATACCTAGGGATTCAGTTTGGCTACACTGGAGGTGTTCTTATGAACAATGCTGTAACAAACACGTGTGCAAAGAAAGAAAAGAACAGCACACCAGTAACATTAAATGTGGCATGTGGCTTACTTTCTCTTCCTTGGCCACCAAGATATTATTCCCTCCTGGTTTTTGCCCCACCTCCCCAGCAGCTCCTTTTCAGTCTATTTTGATGATTTCCTATTAGACCAACCTATACTTCCTCTTACCCTCTGTCTCATGGAGTTGTGTACACAAATACATACACACTGACTTCTCCCAAATTTATCTCTCCATTCTGTCATTGAGCAAAAGACTTGTGTATGTTTTTCTATTTGTATATCTAATTAGACATCCCAAACTTAACATGGTCAAAAACAAAAACCTTGGGGCTGGGGCTGTGGCTCAGTGGTAGAGCACTCGCCTAGCACGTGTGAGGCCCTGGGTTGGATCCTCAGCACCACATAGAAATAAATAAATAAAGGTATTGTGTCCAACTACAACTAAAAACTAAATATTAAAAAAAAACTTTTCTAATCCTCAAATCTATGTCTCCCACATCTTCCCCATCTCAGTTATGTCAACTGTATCCTTCCAGTAGCTCAGATCAAAAAACCCACCAGCAAATCTACTAACTCTAATTTCAGAATCTGACTGCCTTTAATTACCTCCAGTGCTACCTCCCTGATCCAAGTCACAATCACCTTTCTCTTGGAATATTTCAGTAACATCCAAACTGGTGGCCCTGCTTTTGTTTTACCCCAGCCATATCCCCAACAACCCCCCAACACACACTGACACATCTTCCTTATGGCAGACCAAGTGATCCCATTACAACATCATGGCAAATCAATCACTGGTATACTCAGAACACTCCAGCAGCTTGTGCTCAGCCCTGACTGAAAGACCAGGTCTTTCCAATGTTGCTCAAAGTTCATGACATTATGGCCCTCATCTCCTTCTGTCTCACCTATGCTCCCTCTTCCAGTCCCACTGGACTCACCTGATTTACTCTAAAACATCAGATGCCCTCCTTCTTCAGAGCCTTTGCCCGGAACCTTCTGCAAGATAGGTTTTTGTTGTTGTTGTTCTTGTTAAAATGCTGCTATGACCCAGTTTTTGAGGTCCTGTCCAGGGACAGGAAAGTACCCTTGTTGAGTAGCTGGTTAAGTTCACAGTCCAACCACTTCTCTTATCAAGCTCTCACATTCCAGACCACTATGCTCCTCCCCTAATTGTCCTGATGCCAGGAACCAGATAACTAGGGAGAGCTCTTATGCCCTGGAACCTGAGAAATTATTCAAATTAGCCAATCTGCAGAGAACCCACAAAACCTAGCCACCCCAGCCCCACTTGCCATCAACATGTTGCCCCTAGAGCTCCAGCTTACTGTTACACTGTCCCCAGGCTTTATGTTCTGTGTAGCCGTGCATGGCAGCTTTCTCTTGTTAGGATCCATAAAAACAAGGAGTTCTAACATTTGTCTGGGCCAATATCGTACCATCAAAAGAATCTTTAAGTCCTGATACAACACTGTTTCCTTGGAAAGGTCCATCATTTGCTCTATTAACCCCTTCAGATATTTTCTTGCTGAGGTTTTCTCTGACTGCACACCCCCCTCATGCTTGGCACCCCATCTCTTCTCCCTGCTTGACTTTTCTTGACCATTTGCCAGGTCTCATGTATGCATTATTTCAATTGTCTTTTCCTCTTGGGACATCATTTCTGTGGGAAAAAGGGTTTTGCCTCACATTACATGTTCAACAAATGCTTCTTGAATGAGAGTGAGTGAATGCATGAGTGGATGAAATGGTAAGAGGAAACTAGAGAAATACCAGGAATAGTAAAGTTTCAAGTGACTGGCAAACACACATACACATACACACACAAACACACACACAAACACTCTCTCTCTCTCTCTCTCTCTCTCTCTCTC